CCTCTCGCAGGAGGGGCAGCAGGAAGGGGCAGAAAGAGACATCGGAACCGGCTGGCAGCCTGGCCTCCTGAGCTCTGTACCTCCTGGAGACTGGCGTCATTTGTGTTGTGAAACGTTGGCCACTGCCATTCGGGATGCCTGTGTGTGACCTCCTCCTGATCAGATGGCTCTGCGAGGCCCGCGTGAAGGGTTGGCCTGGCCATCAGCCTCAGACCTTCCCGAGAGCCGCCGGCAGGGGCGTTTTCTGGCAAACGGTCCATGTATTTTGTATAAATAATCACAGCTTTTACAATTGGCATAATTCATAGGTTAATTCCTTATCACTTTGTTTGAATACAATTTCTAGCAGATACTAGTTTTACAGTGATTTAATCCTTCTCCTAAAATATTCAGCCGAAAGTTCTACCTGGTTTTTTCTCTTTTATGTTTTCCTTGTAGGTTCGTTTTTATATACACTAGAATGTAAACAAGAGAGACAAATTGTCATATCTACGCTTTCTCGTTACAAACTGTTTCAGGCTCCTAAACCCCTGAAAAATGAAACCAAACAATTGCTTTCCAAACTGAACATTTCACTGAATGTACTGTATCTTATGTAAGTCAGCTTTTATCTTGATTGGTTAATTTAAAAACTAGCCATGTCTGTCATTGTTGTTTGTGTTTTGTGCCTAGAGGTGAGGGCCTAGAGGTGAGGGCCGTGTCTTTAAAACAGTCTCCTGGGCAGCACGCACACTGCGGTACCTGAGGTGAAGGAGGGTGTCCTCGCTGGAGGCCCTAGGGCTCCGAGGGCAGCAAGCTGTGTGCAGAGCACACCCTCTCCACCCTTGCCAAGAGGTAGAAGCGTTAGGTTAGCTTGTTTTTTCTTAAAAGTCTTACGCAGATGAAATTCATATGCCGTACAGTGCGAATGCAAGATAAAAAGAATACAGTTCAGTGGATTTTCTTCTGCTGTGTTCACAGAGTTGTGCAGTCCGTCACCACAATCTACTGTGGAACGCTGCATCACCCCAGAGAGAAACCCCAGCCCCGTTAGCGGTCACCGTCCATGTCCCTCCCAGCCCCCACCCCAGCCACTGACAAGCACCTGTCTGCTTTCTGTCTCTGGTTTGCCTCTTCTGAAAATTTCATATAAGTGGGGTCATAGAATATGGCTTTTTGTGGCGGGCTTCTTTCACTGAGCGTAATGCTTGCAAGGTTCGTCCCTATTGCAGCCTGTGTCATGCCTTGTTGTGGCTGAATAACGTTCCATTGTATAGATATGCCATATTTTATTTGTTCACTCATCATTTGATGGACATTTGGGTTTGCACTTTTTGGCTGATACAAAGAAAGGTTCTGTGAACAATTGTGTACAAGTTTTCTGTGGGCACATGTTCTCATTTCTCTTGGGGATACACCCGGGACTGGAATCGCTAGGTTATATGGCTACTCTGTGTTTAGTCTTTTGATGAACTGCCAGACTGTTTTCCAAGTGGCTATACCATGTGCTTTCCTACCAGCAGTGTATGAGGTTTCCAAATTCTCCACATCCTCATCGGCACCTGTGACTGTCTGGTTGGTTGTAGCCGTCTCCGTGTGTGTGAAACAGTATCTCATTCTGTGGGGTCGTCACTTTTGTGATGGTGTCCTTTGTAGCACAGATTGTTTTGATTTTGATGAAGCCCAAATTATCTAATTTTTCTTTTGTCACTTGTACTTCTATTGTCATTCCTAAGAAGGCAGGCCTAGCCCAATGTCACAGAGGTTTACTCCTGTTTTCTTCTAAGGGTTTTATAGTTTTTTCACTTACATTTAGGTCTGTGATCCATTCTGAGTCAGTTTTTAAGGAAGGGACCCACCTTCTGTCCTTTTGAGTGTGGACGTCCAGTTGTCCAGCTGTCCCTAGCACCATGTCTTGGAGAGACCATCTCTCCCACCAAATGGTCTCGGCACCTTGTTGAAAGTCGGCTGATCGTAAATGTAAGGGTTTGTTTCTGGGCACGCAGCCGTGTTCCTGTTGATCTACACGTCTGTCCATGTGCCCGTGCCACACTGTTTGGATTATGGTAGCTTTGCAGTAAGTTTTGAAATGAGAAGGTCTGAGTTTCTCCAACTGTGCTATTCCATTTCCATATTGTTGTGTCTAGGATCAACTTGTCAAGTTTTGTTTTTAAAAAGAAAAAAGAAAAGAAAGAGAAAAGCCAGCTGTGACTTTCATAGTGCTGCACTGAGTCTGCAGAGCTTAGCTCTGAGGTTAGCGTCGTGGAGCCTGGAAGGGCAGGGCAGGAGGCAGTGTGGCAGCCCGCGTCCTTCCACCTCCTGTCAGTCTCGGGACAGTGAGACTCCACTTCCTCCCCAGGGAGACCAGGGGAGGCACTGGTTGGAGGGTGACGTCTGGTGGCTGGATGGCCCTGGCACAGTCCCTACCTTTCAGAGCAGGACACCTGCCTCCACACAATCAGACTTGACTGTCAGACAGTTTTCAGTGAAAGGGAACTTTGTTGTGGCCGGTTTCTTTGGGCTGATTTAGAAGGTCTGCTCACTCGTCACGAGCTGCCACTGTGGCCATGGGGGTCTGCCCTGCATGGAGCAGGCTGGGGGCTGACCCTCGCGTTGTTTCTGTTTGACAGGCAACACAGTTCCCATGGTCACCTGTCCCTTTCTCACCTCCAGGCAAGGCTTGAAATCTGCACCCTGAGGGACACCGTGGCTGCTCACCTGACGCCAGAGAGCAGGTGAGATGCTCCGTGGCCGTGCTGTGAGTGCTCCGAAAGCCCCTGTAATAAAGCTCGTCGTACAGGTGTGAGGTCGCAGGTGAAGGTGACTGATCACAGCGAGCGCTTGTGACTGTGGTCTCATAGTTCATGTGTGATCAGTTGTTATGTTAAAAGCACAAACCTACAGTAAGCCAAGGACTCCAGAGACTGCTTCTTTGTAGCACAGAAGGGAAAAAGGTTTAATGTAATTTCATGTTTCTCATTCACTGAGGTAAGTCTTAGTCTCATAAGCGGTGTAGCAGAGCATTGCATACTTCTTTTGAAAAGAAGAAAATAAGAATTGAGTCAGTCTATTCATCACAGACTCTGAAGGACAGTTCAAGCATCATGAGTATCAGCATAAGAGGAAAACCTTGTGGTTTCTCTGCAAAATTTTGTAGTGGAAATTTGATGATAATTCTTAGCTGTTTTGAATGAAAGTCAGGATTTCCTATCATTGAAACATCAGTAGGTGAACTGAAACAGCACTACCTACAGAAGATTGTTTACCCCATTGACAGCATTGCCTGGGAAGTGTTGGGTCCACAGGGAAACCGCTTAAACACGATGTGCGATGTACTTACCGTTCGTTTCCAGCTTTAGATGGTGTGCTCGTGCCGTCGTCCTGACTGTCATTGCTACAGCTGAAAACTTTTCCATTTTTTCCTAACACATGAGGTTATTAGCCTCTTACTTCTGTTCTGGCGGCTGACCGGGAGCCTTTCTGGTTGGTTCCCGCCACTGCTGCTCTGCACCAAGTGCTGAGTGATAGACACCAGAAAGCGCCCGCCCAGGACCCATGGGTGAGGTGCTCTGCATGAGGACGGACCTGTGTGTTCTTCCCCACTGACTTGACCTTTCGTAGCCCAGCTTCCTCATCTGTGACAGGAAGATAATAATACTTTCTAGGCCAAGTTTTGGGGGAGTTAAATGAGAAACTATGTCAAACCACCCAGTAAACTCTTGGTGGGGTCACCTTCATCCTCTTTTTCTTGGTCGTGATGTAAAAATAGAGAGCAGTGGCCTCACATTGCTGTTCATCGAATGAGAAGAGGTTTACAGGAAACCAGGTGACAGTGGAGGCGGTGGTAGAGACTTCTCTCTACGTCAGGGAAGAGGACTAAGTGCCCACAAGCTATGACCTGTCCCCACACCCCCATACCTGCCCCACCAGGAACAGCTGGGCACCCTGCCAATTTCTGGGGCCCTGTTGGTACTTTGCTGTCTCTCTGTGTGTTGCTCTGATACCTGCCCCTAGTTTGAGAAACATTGCTCAGAAGTTTATTTCCTGGTCCACTGATGCAGACGTTTTTACAAAAAGAAAAAAATCAAAGGCCACTTTGAAGTCAAAATAATTACATTTATTTCTTTACTTTAGTCAATAGTCATAAAACAAAAAGAGATGAGAAGAACTGTTCCTTAGTGAACAGTACAAGTTATTACCAAATAATCTCCCCTAAAATGCTTTTCATTTGATTTAGTAACTTTTCTGGTACTTTCTACTTTAAAAAGTTAAACGTACCAAATTGGTGGTTTTTAAATCCACCCCCTTTTCCGTATTTCATGAAATGAAATGATGTTGAATTACACACACACACACACACACACACACACACACACCCCTCTCCATTATCGTACAAATTTTAAATATGATGACAGCTAAATCCTCTTAAGACATGTTCAGTTGTTACAAGAGGTTGGCTGGAAATCAGGCCCTGCACAGGCCAATTCTAGGAACACCCGCTTTGTATGCTGTTGCACAAGGCCATCCCTGTTTCTACTTCGGCCCCCTCCTCCCTTACCAGCTGTTTCATCTGTGTACTTCAGCTTTGTTTTGAAAGTAAAGACCTCCTTAAATTTAATGACTCTACGCCAAGCTCTCACCTACCACGGTGAGTAGCACCCTTGCGTAAAAATCAACTTCTCCTTTGCTTTTCAAGTCGTGTTTTATTTGCTGGTTGAATTCTTCTGGCCCAGCTCCTACAAACCCTCACTTTCACTTTCACTTTTCCCCCTGCTTCTACTGGCTGCCCAGCCTGTATGTTTCTCTGTATGTAAGATGCGCTTTTTCTGACGTTCCTCTTCCCGGTGGGGCCGGCGTGTCCCTGCCTGGGATGCTGTCTGTGTTCCAGATCCAGTTTCAAGCAGGCCCTGGAAGCCCTGCCGCAGCTCTCGAGTGGAGCGGACAGAAAGTAAGTCTGGGTGCTGGTCTCAGGGACCTAAACTCCTCCTCTTCAGGTGGAGACTTGGCCTTGAGGAAGGCGGTACTCGGTGGCCCTCAGGTATGCGTTGTTAGCTTGTCTCCCACGCGGCAGAAGGAGGTAAAACCTGGGTTTCATGACGATTCAGAAATCGGTTCTTTTATTGTTTTAAGTGACTGTACCAGTCCCTTAAACTTTCATAAGAAAGTTTATTTTGACTCACTCAGTAAACTATATTCTTATCGGAATTTTTTTTTTTTTTTTTTTTTTTTTTTTTTTTTTTTTT